AAGTGACGCCGCCGCCGTTGCCTGGACACCGGCGCGGTCCGGCTCGCCCCGCGGGGCCGGCCTGAGACACGGGAATTCCGCTTGGCCTGCGCGGGCCGCTCCCGGCTCTCGCTCCGGGCCCCCAGAACGGATAGCGCAGGCCTGGAGTCGGCCAGATATGTCCCGCGAGCCTGGCTATCCTCGCCGCGATAGCTCCTTGTTTCTCGTTTAGGTTAATTGTAAACGATGTTTGTCACGTCTCCCCAGGCCAGGCACGGGACGCGCTGATGATCTGGCCAGGGACACGGAATTTCGTATGCTTACCCAGTCTTTCCACTGGTATCAAAATATACTTGGCCATAATTAAGGTACACCTCTTTCTCTCAGTTACCATCGAATAAAAGCAGAGAAGGTTTAGAGTCCCTGCTGTGCAGGAATTCCGGGGATGCCCTTGAAGAAGAGCAGACCCTCAGGTACACTGGAGCTCGGTACCCTGGTGTGCCACACTGGAGCTCTACCTGCACACGCCGTGTGTGCTTCAGGGCAACAGGGCTAACCCTCTCTCTCTGGACCTGAAATCACAGTCCTCCTGGTCCCAGCTAACACGAGAATTTCTTGATTTCCATACTCAGTGTTGATTGAAACAGATAATTCTTTAGTTGGGAAATGAAAACAAAGTCCAATAATGGAAGTGATTTTAAATTGTTATGATTAATGCACAAGAGCGTGCCTTACATCTGACAAGGTTGGTGTTCACATTTTGTTTATATTTTTATTCAATTAAATTTATTTATTTTATCAAGTTATATTTTTCAATCATGCTGTGTTGAAATTTATCCTTGTGAAAAGGTAAATTCGGTATAGCTTTCACCTGCACCATGTCTTTATTATTTTACCATTTTGAGGGTAAAAATAATTTAAACATTTATTAAAAAGCTTTAAGGAAGCCATGTAATCATAAAGAGCATAAACAATGCCAAAGACAGAGTAATCTGCAAGAAAAAAAAATGTTCCAAGCCCTACTAAGACATGCATGTTCCCAAGTACTGTAATATGAAATTCCTGAATGAAGAACAAGGGCTAGAAAGAATTAATGTTAAAAATGTTAACAACTCCCTATGATGAAATCAGAAAATAAGTTTCAGAACAATGATTTTGGAGTTAAAACTCAGGAGATATTAAGAAATTGAATCAAGGTAAGAATAAGTTCTTGTAACTTCCTGGTGCGTTCCAGGTATTCAATTACTTCACCCAAAGTGTAGCTTGGTCAAACAATAAGCAAAGAAAAAAAGAAGTGCCCCTGGAAACAGTTGATCAACGTGACAGAAAAGGACTCTGAAGTAGTGCAAGTTTTCTGCACTAATGATATCCGTGAAAACACTACTGAACAGCTTTCCAGGTGAGTATTTCCCTCACATACTGTGGATGGGGTATATAGAGCACAAGAGTAAGAAATAATATTTCTGCCTATAGAGAACTGATGGAGTTCTTACACCCTGCTAACTATTACCACTATTTATTAATTTTTACACATTATGGACCAAAGGCACAGACTCCAAGCAAACAGTCCTTAACAGCTCCCTCCTACCTTAGCTGAGAGTACCACAGTGCAGACATCTCCCCATTAGTGCTGATGGCTCACTCCTGGTGTTTCCATGGTTCAGGTATGGGAACTCGATGCGGGGAGTCAGAGATGAAGCAGGTGCCTGCTTTCTGTCCCCTCCACAAATTTGGAATTTTACCTTTTTATAAGACCGTGCAATCTCTAGATAATTTTCAGCCCTACACACCTCCCCCTGTGTGAAGCAGAGTGGGGTTGTTTTCCCAGCCTGTTGCAGATGCCTCATTCTGTTGTTGGGCTGCCTTTTTTTTTATTTTGCTTTGCAACTGTTAGTTCCATTCTTAAAGCAAAGAGTCTGTTCCCAGATTTCAAGGTTGTGCTTTGTCAAAGACTAGTCATTGATGATCAGGATGTTGTTTGTGCTGCCACGGCCTCTGCCTTCAACTTGTGCCCATGTTTTCAATGCCTTTTTCATCCCACGCTTAAGCTGCACCTCATATCAAGAAGCAGCTGGTATCAAGCTCTGGTTCACACAAACTTTAATTAAATTGATAACAAAACTAGCAGGCCTCACACAGTTGCCCAAAGGCCAGGGGTTTTTACTAGCACTAAGTACTTTTTCGGGGCTGCTGGGCACCAAAATGCCCCATCAGTTACACTGTGCCAGTGTGCCGAAGCCTGGGTTCTGAACCCAGATGGTGAATCGGCTCAGGGCTGCTGTGGTCACCGGAGCAACAGGTGGCACAAGGGCACGGAGGAATAGCTCCACCTGGTGACCCAGCGGTCCCCGTGATTTCACTGCTCACGGCTCTCTTCACTAGAGCAGCATGAAAATGCTTCAGAGGATGGGGTAGTTCAGGAACAGTTTCGGGGCTTCTGAGAACGAGCAAATGAAGTAAATGCCTGAGTACAGTGGAGATGGTAAAGCCTTCACCATGAAATAACAATATATCAACATAAGCCTTATGTTTTGCTTCTGTAAGAAGCTCTTAGGTTATTATCTTTTCTACTTCAAAAGCCTGTAGGAAGCCTACTGCTGTGGAGAAAACCAAACTATGCTGCCAAAAAAGCCACTCTAAGTTTCAGTAGTTGCACATCCTCCAACAGTGGCAGATTAAACATGTTTTCAGGTCCAAGAAATGTGGAGTCTTTACAAGGGCATGTTGTGACAGGACAAGGGGAAATGGTTTTAAACTGAAAGACAGTAAGTTTAGATTAGCCAATAGGAAAAAAATTCCTTACTGTGAGGGAGGTGGTGATGTACTGGAACAGGTTGTCCAAAAAGGCTGTGAATGCCCCATCTCTGGAAGTGTTCAAGGCCAGGTAGGATGGGGCTCTGAGCAACCTGGTCTAGAGTTGAAGGTGTCCCTGCCCATGGCAGGTGTGTTGGAACAGCATGATCTTAAAGGTCCCCTTAAACCAAACCCTTCTGTGATTCAACATTCTTGGTTCTCTCATTACAAGAATCTTTACCTCACTGAAGCAAAACTTCAGGCTCTTGGCTTAGACATTTCCAACTTCCTTTTCCCTTACTAAACCAATGCCAATTCCTAAATTCATATGATGCTTTTCATCTATACATGTTTTGATCCATTTTGACAGCAGTTAAAAATAGCCAAAGGTTAGAAATAACTATTTATTATGAAAACAGTGTAGAAACATTTTCCTGCTCCCTGAACTATCAAAATATACAACAAAAACTTAATTCTCTAGAAAACAAGGAAAAGTGCATTGCAGTGGATGAAACTGCTTGTGTAATATACATTTTTAGTATAAATATTAATAATCTTTGAAGTCTTGTTGAATATCATTCAGGGCATGTGTAAGTCGTCTTATTTTATTTTCCATGGCTTTTTTATTGTTTGCCATTTCTTGCAGAAGCTCCCTCATTTCTTCTTCAACAGAGTAGACCTGAAAAAACACAGAGATGAAGTAGAATTCTTGCTTTTCTTAATACACCTAAACCCATATAATCTTGGCAATTTTTAAAACTGATAAGCAATGCAAGAGTTACATGCTTATATCTTTGAATATGCAATGCATTACTTTTGATACTGGATGCAGTAGCAGAATTTTTTCTTTAAAAAAATGTATTAGTCTCCTGGGAGGTAGCAAGTACTGTGTCAATCCAGAAAACTTATTATGGAAAAAAGCACCAGTTGTCATGTTAAGGAAGAACACAGTAGATGACAGAAGCAGTAACAGTTAAGGTTGGCATGGATGAGTTAAATAGATTATCTGGCATAGTCATCATTAATCTTGCCTGTATAGATAAGGGAATGTTTAGCTATTGATTCCTAACAGCCGCATAGTATGGAGCTTTGCTTGAATATAAAACATTACAATGCACAAGTCTAGAGATTTTCTTGCTGCGCTAAGATTGAGTGATTGAAACCAGGACTGTTTCCATCCAGAGTCAGCCTGAGATTCAAACAGGAGACTTCCAGGCACCACTCTTGCAGCAGCTGTAGAATAAAAATGCAAATACAATAAACATATTAATTGAGTATTAAAATTACTTTTTCATTTGCTGCTTCAATTTGTTTTTCCTTTTCATTTTTAAGGTGCAGGAGCTCTTCCTGATGTGCTGCCAACACTGACTCAAGTTGTTTTCTGAAGGCATTATCCATTTTATGAAGCTTTTCTACAGCAATCCTAAAAAAAAATTGAAAAAAAAAATCTTAGTTCTGCAAATAACTGCTTTGCTTTGTCAAATTCTGCCTTTGATAAGGTTTTTATAACTCAGGCATGAAGATAATTATATATTGGCATCAGAAATGTCCTGTTTTCTCAAGTACAAGTTCTAGCTTTATGCACTGTGTCAGGACCTTTAGCATTCTCTAAGGAGAGTCATTTAATCACTAGCAAAGGATATAAAGATTAGGGCTTGCTACTGTCAACATGGATAAGAACTCCCCCTGTTTTCACACATCTTACACTTTTGGTTCCCAAGAAGTGAATGAACTGTGTGATCCTGTGAATGGCCTGTGAGCCTGTCTCTCACAGAAACAGAACAGTGTCTCCTTCACTGGAAAGAAGCATTTCTTTAACTCCAAGCAAATTCTGCTTTTAGGAGATAATTCTTAAATATGTAGGAACAAAAAACAAGGCAAATTTATACAATCGATTTACAACAAAATTCTGATACAAACCAGAATTACTAAGAACAAAAATATCAGTTTCACTACTGATCTTCTAACAATTCCAAACCCTAATACTACTGACTATTTGAGGTGGTTTGTTTTGTTTGGCTTTGTTGTTGTTGTTGATTTTTTGTGGTTCCGGTTTTTTCTTTCTATGCAGTCTTATTAACTAGCTGGTATTTTCTCAAGAATAGCTGGAAGGAAGGAAGAAACATGAGAAGGGGGCCAAAGAATAAAGTAAAAATGACAGTAAGAATCTAAACTTATCACAGGCATTGGTCTAGTGAACTCCTCCATCATTCCATAAGCATATGAAATAATTTTCTGGGTTGTATTTGTTTCTGTATGATCTCATATTTAACTATTAATTGATCAAAGAACTTGGCAGTAAAAGAGGAACAAGAAAATAAATTAAAAATCTTGCTATTTGAATGGGAAAAGAATGACAGGTAATTCAGAAACAGCCACAGAATGAAACAGTGATTAACAGACACCAAGTTGGGCAGGAGTACCGATCTGCTGGAGAGCAGGAAGGCTCTACAAGAAGGGATGGGGGCAAGTTGGGTTGATGGCACAAGGCCAATTGTATGAGGTTATTTTCAAAGAAAATGGAAATTAAGAAGTTCAGATGCCAAATGCTGTAACTGAATGCCAGTTCTATGAAGTAAGTCACCTCAACAGCAAGAATTCCTTCTGGGCCAAGTTTGTAATTGGGCTCACCAAGTAGTTAAAAAGGTATTACACATTCTTTTACCACTTAAATCAAGCATTTTTGCAGAGTTATTAATAATGCTACTCTATAATAACTGAGTACTCACAAAATAAACTATTAAAGTGTTCACCTTTGAGTTTGAAGGCTTTTATTTCTCTCTTCAATCAGCTTCTTCTCTTTGAAATCAAAGTTCTCCTTCATTTGTTTAACCTGCACCTCCAGCTGGCTTAATAGCTCTCCTTTACCTTGCCACCTCTTTTTCAATGCACTGAAAATAAAATGTACATATTTACAATGAATGTAAATACCACTTCTTAGGAAGGCAGAAAAGCTTTTCATGCTTCTATTTTTCCTCATTTCTGTGAGTTTTAACAGCAAGCGAGTACTCTCTGACTACAGAAAAAAGCAGTGTTGCATACAATGATACCAAAGAATTACTGTGATTTGCATGTATCACCTGTGTGCATTCTTAATGTCATCAAGTTCTACTTCTTTTTCTTCTAGCAGTTGCTTTAATTCCTCTTTTCTTTCATTTTGCCTTTCTATTTTTTCCATTAGTTTTTCACATTCAGCAGCTTTTTCATCCAACTGTACTCGAAGCAATTTCTGAGCTTCCCAATTTTCTTCATGGTGTTTCTTGATTTGTTTATCTTTTTCTAGTAAGCCCTTTAGAAGATAAATATTTTAGAACACATAAACTCCCTTTACTGTTACCCCTATGTAACAATGTGTTTAGTCTACGACGGAATAAAGCAGAGAACATGAAAGTTTTCTCTTCTAATGAAGAACACTTAGTAAAGTAATACTCAATTACTTAATCTTCCTCTAAAAGAATTCTGAATTAAAAAAAAAAAGTCATCAAAACATAAACCTGAAGTTGAAAGCAAGATAATAAAAAAGTTATTTTAAATTCTTATTCTACATAAAAGTTGAATAAACAACTTATATGTAAGTCACTGAGCTCACAATCTGTAACAATGAGTAATGCATCTGACTTAACATGCTATAAAATTTTGACTAATAAGCTAGTTTTAAGTCCTTAAATGAGGCAAATGGAATTACTGGGACAAAACATATTACCTCTGCTGCCAAAACAGTGTTTTGCAAGAACAAATAAAGAAAAAATATTTATGTTGTAAAATAAATGTGAAGCAAACTTAAAAATTATTTTTCCTTTTCTTTCAAACACTCAGGAAGAATTATGCTATCCTAGTTTCAACTCTCTCAAAATCATTATCAAGACTAAAGTGAAGCAAGGCAAAGAGAAGAAAATCTGTACATAAATATGGTTCAATGAGAGATTCAGAGTAGCATCACTGTGCATCAATTTAATAAAAAGCTCTCTTCTGCTCTCAGTGAAATGAATTGCCACTGACAGCCTGATTGTGATTTGTGAGTGCAGACCCAGCTTTTATCACAGGCTTTGTGATAGCTAAAATTAAGACTTACAGTGAAAGTCAAGTACACAAATTGTCAGATATATCACTTACTTCTTTTAATCTCCTAATTGTTTCTGTCTGATCATCCACAATTTTGTTTTTAATTTTTATGGTATCACTGTCCTGTTCCTTTTGCTTTTTTAAAGTGTCAATCTCATTTGTTAAAACTTCAATTTTTGCCTCCAGTTTCCCCCGATCTTGCGCAAGATGAGCTCCTGGACAAAAGAGGATATTCACATTACAATAGAAACTCATTTTTTACATGATTTCAAGATGTGGAATGTTGGAAGATTGGGCTAGGGAAGGTGAGAACTTTACAAACCAAAGTATTGACTGTTCTCCCCACTGGAAACACTGTAGGGGTTTAATCTGTAGGTAGGTAATTCTTAAGAGGAAATGAAGAACTGAAAGTCTGTGTTTTATCCTTTTTGAAAACTTCTCTGAAAAATAGTTGACAATAATTCTTACAGACCCCAAAAGACCACAAGGTGGTGCTGAGTCCCAGGAATAGAGAAAAACGCCCAAACTTTTTTTTTCTCCCAGCATTTAACATTCTTTTAAGATATGTACTGAAATTTCCATATTAGACTTCCCTGCTAGACAAGAAGCATTACATAACATTATTTACAGATCCTTGCTTTTTGAGTTTCATGTTTAAAAGTTCTTTGTACAACTTTATGGTATTTTCACATTTTCAGGAAACAGATAACTGTATTCACAGCTGACTCCTACAATTGCTGTTACAGATCCTGCACCAGCCCCTGTGCCACAGAACATTTATTTCTGCACATCATCTTTACAACTGGATAAGATCAGGAAGGCACCCAAGGACCCTGGCATGATTAAAACTATACAGGAGTGTTTATTTGAAACATAAAATATTGAACACCAAAATTTTTTCTGCAAAAGAAAAAAACCCACTATTTTACCCTGTTCTGCCAACTCCTGCCCCCATATTTTTCTTTCCATTTTTAATCCATCAATCACAGATTCCTGGGCTGTAAGCTGGGAAATAAGTTTTCCATTTTCCTTTTTTAGAAGTTCAACTTCAACAGCCTTTTGTTTGTCCTCCTCAATCACAGTTTCAAGCTCTCCAGTTCGACACTGTGTGAACAAACATTGGGAAAAGACAGAAAAGATCATTTAAAACAACATTCAAAATTTCAAATCAATATTAAGGGGTTAGGAAAGTAATCCTTATATACACCAAATTAAGGTAACTGAAAAGTATGCTACTTGCATTCAGGGTTCTATCTGCATCTCATTCCAGTTCTGAAACACAAATGTTTGCTTCAAATTGACATACTTCAATCCCAGGAAACTATAAAGTTGACTTCTAAATACCCACTCTAAAATAACAATTTCATCATAAAAACCTGCTCAGAATTATAAATGCAAAAGTCAAGAAAAGCAAAAGAGAAAGTAAAGATATTACAAACTGAATCAGAAGAAGACAGAAGCTGGGATGTACTTTCACTTCCAATGATACATATTTATCCTCTATTATCCAAGCTACTTTTTGTTTTACAGACTACAGCTATTTAATAAAGGTATTTTTCAATTTTGTTCTTAAAAGCACCACTGACTGGCAGAATCTTATTCTGTACAACAAAAAAATATTTGGGCACCCTAACAAAAACAACAAAATGTAGAAAGGAGATTAGAAACAGCTGTGCAGGGGTTGTGCTTCACCCAAGTATTAGCACAAAGCTGAACTGGATCACACAACCATTCAAAAGTTATATCTTTAAGATTTATAAAAATTATTTATGGATAATAGAATAGTACTAGAATATGTTGTCACAAAGCAACTGTGCCCACAGTATTTAAGATTAAAATTTGACTATTAGTGGATAATGAATCATACTTTTAATGCTATACAACGAGGAGATACTGAGCTGCTAATAACTACACTGCATTATTAGTCCAATTACATTTTTACTTCATATACAGTGACCAGTGCAGAAGCATGTTCCATTTCTTTGAATTTACAAGGGGTCAGTGCTATTAATGTAGTTTTGATTGACCAACTACTAGTGCTCACAGCACAAGGAGTGCACTTTGCAAAACATGAATGAGTCCACATTTTTCTATATGGGGAGCAGTATTTATGAGAAACAGAAGTGCAAGATGCAAGAATAAAGGCTGATGTGCACTACTAGGTTTTAGTGCAATAGGAAACCTGTGTCTTTTAGTTAACCAAGCTTGTGTAGAATCATTAACTTTTATAAATGAAACATTACAAAAAATAATCTATGTAGTTGAAATGTTTAGAAACAAGTACCTTTAGGTTTGCTGTAACTTCCTCGTTTGATTTTGTTAATTCTGCAATTTTTGCTTTCTGTTCTTCC